CAACATTTTTTTCCCCCTCATGTCCTGAGAAGAATAAAAGCACTTAAGAAAAAAAAATCTTGACCAAGGCTTTCATAATTCATGCATCAGAGGGTTAATCACAGAATGTTTTGTTTAGAAACCTGATTGATTTGTATACTTCAAACATAAGAGTAGGAGATTAGCATTCTGTGTAATTTCAATATTATTAATGTAAATATGTTTTTCTAGTTAAGATTTCTCAGCCATTTGAATTGGTTGGAATGGACCTTATTGGGAGACTTACAGAAACCAAAAGGGGACATCAGTATATTTGTGTTTTCATTGACTACTTCAAAATAGCAACAGGGATCCCCATTGAAGTCTAAATCAGCAAAGGAAGTGACAAACCGATCAAATTTGTCCATCAGTTCGAAGCACCTAAAAGGGTTCTTAGCTCGCAAGGAAAGGAATTTGTCAATTCTATAAGTACTTCAGTCTTTGGAAAACATTGTTATTGGCATGTAACACATTTTTAAAAAATTATATACATCTGTAAGGTTCTACTTCTGGTTTCTATAAATCTGTTTGTGATATTTGTGTGACTGCTGTATATTTCAAATCTTATTGTAATGTACTTCGAGTCAGTATATTTTACTTGCTGTTGCAGCTCAAAAGGTTATGCAGAATGTTGCAAAGAAGAAACCTCTGCTCCCCATATCATCCACAAACAAATGGCTCGGTAGAGAGAACCAACGGCACCATCCAGAGGTAAATTCTTTGTTATATTCTGTAATAGACCACACCAAAGCCTGATACTTTGAGTACATCCAGCTTAATGTGTGAAACATTACAGTTTTATGGGGTTCCCTTCCACTAAAACATTAAGGTATGACATTTAAAAGCCAAAAAGGAAAATGATGTCATATGAATGTTTTGCATGTGCTTTTATTGTCAGAGCCCTCTGTAAAGTTGTTGGTGACCAACCAGAAACATGGGATGACTATCTGGATGTTGTGATGTTTGGTCTCAGAACAAAAAAAAAAAAAAGCAAATGACCACTGAAGTACTCACCCCATTACCTGATTTTTGGCAGAGAGGCTCGTTATCCATATGAAATCCCAGAACACTACATGGTCTTTCTGTCTGTGACAAACTACAGGAAAATCCTACGCAAAGCACCTTAGTAAGTTTTTGATGCACATGCAGAACAGTTTCAATGCATGCTACATCACCACCTTAAAAGCAACAATTTTATCAGATCCAGGGTCAGAAGCTACAGCAAAGGAAGAAAACGCCACCAGAACCAGCCCCCAAAACCAGTACGCGCTGCAGGTCCACAAGCCAAATCACAAACAGCAGCAGACCCAGATCCAAAAGCTACAACTCCACCAGTGACTACTCCCCAGGTTGTAGCACCACCAGCATCAACTACGCCTAAGCAATCTACAGCACAAACTGTAGAAGCAACAGTACTACCAGCAACAGCCTCACAAGCTACTCCTGCACCACCTCCAGCATCATCACCTCAAAGATATTCTGAAGCTGTTGCAGAGAAATGGGGGGGGGGGGGGGGGGGGGGGGATTCTTTGTTATTGTGTAAACCAGAATGTTCAGAATTGACATTGTACAATTGTACCCTGTCTGGCAACATTTTGATCTCATCTCTCCAAATAAGGTATGCACACAGTAATAAATATCACAAATGATAAGTACCATAATATAAATAAACCACACCCCAGATCCTATAATCTGATTTCTGTCTTTTAGTTTATTGAAAGGTGAAGTGTTTGCTGTGCTCCAAAGAACTTTAATACAGCAACAACACCTCATCTATGCTCAGGCCTTACAGAGCCCTGCGCGAAAACAAGGAGGCTATCCAAGGTGGACCAAGCTCAGTTAAGTTTTTTTAGGTTGTAAGGATACAGTCATTTTATACATTTAGATTCCCCATGTCATTCATTTATATTTGGCTTGTAATTACAATATATGTAATTTCTCAATGTTTTGTTTGTTTTATCAGGGGAGAGGAATGATGTGGATGAGGCCTTGGTCAACATGGTGATTCCCAGCCCTTCACTATTGTGGAGGACAGTGGGTTTAGAAAGCTTGTTAAAGCTTTGAACCCTAACTATGTTCTCCCCACAAGTCAGGTGTGTATCTTAAAATATGAAGCATGTTTGCAGTTTTCCTATATTTCCATATTAAGAGCGGTACTTTCTTTTGTTTAGGCTTTGAAAGCTATGGTGGACCAAAGATACAAAGAGTCCAAACTAAAAGAAAAACTGACTGTGGCAAAGGCTTCTGCAGTTAGTTTGACATCTGATATGTGGACCTCCATTAACACAGAGGCTTACCTAGCTGTCACCTGCCATTTCACCGATTCTAGCACTGCATTGCATTCTGTGGTGTTAGGTGTTCAGCACTTCCCTAAAGCAAATACTACTATCAATTTGTCCCAAGTAACAGCAGCGCTCATGTCAGAGAAAGTTACATGTTATGTGACTGATGGAGCAGCAAACATGGGTGCTCATGCAAAGGAACTTTGTTTGTGTCACAGTAATTGTGAGGCGCATACATCGAACCTAATGGTCAAAAGCTCTTGATCAACACACCACGCTGTCTGAGATCCAGACCACCTGTAGGAGGATAGTGGGATATTTCAACGTTTGTTCCATTATTTCATTACTGCTTTAAACACTTAAACCCCCGGAGAGCAGCCATTTGGCTTTTCTAAC